TCACGACCCAAGCCATCGGGTGCTGATGTGATCGACTGGCAAGAATTGCGAGGAAGCTCGGCGGTGACAAACCGAACTGGTGCTTGAGCCAAATGATTTGGGTTTAGGCTTCAATCGCAATTGAGAAAGGTTTCGCCCTTTCTATTCGGAGCCACAGACGTACAAGATGAACTCTGCACACGTCTTGCATCCATTCGAACACCGAAATCGAGGCCTTTTTCAATGATGCGACATTTTCAAACCGTCAGCACTGGCCCCAAGCTGCCTCGCAGTGTGAAGTCTTCCCAAGGTCGATCTCCGTTTTTGTAGGAAACCTTCGAAGGTTCATTTGCGGTCAAAACTTCTGCAGGCATCACTAGCCTGACATCGTGAGGTACGAGCGCTGCTCCATGGACTAACCGGCCCAACCCCAACAAAACGCCCCAGAGCACAGGATCTCAGAGAGCGCTCGGAAGATGCTAATCCTACCAGAACCCACGAAAGCCTCGGGAAAGCGCTCCGACTCAACAGAACACAGAAACTCTGTCAATGAACTTAGTCAGGAGCCATTCGGCCAGCGGCCCCTGTACGACGAAAGCGGCGGTTCCACTCCTGTCAGCCACAGAAAGGGTTTCTTGCAAGTACGACCAAAGTGACGAAAGCTTCAAAGCTTGGAGCTTGGCTAAGAGGCCCAATCTCCACACTTCTCAGACCTATCTTTCAATGCCTTATCAGATCACAGGGCTTCCTCCTCCTCAGGATCCGCGGACTCTCCGACAGGCGCCGCCTGTGGAGGCCCAAGCATCTCTGCTCCGTGTCGTGAGTTGATATTGCAAAACCAACGAAGAGAGGACTTGCGGCTAAGTCGGCACTAGGCCCCTGGGCGCTTTGCCTCCTGCTCTGCGTCGCAGTAGTTGGAAGATTTTCCTCAAGAACAACACGATCTGGCGACGCTGGCGTGCTGCGCAAAGCTCCGAAAGGCAAAGCATGGCGAAGCACCAGAACACCGGGTGACCCGGGGGGCGGACTTCGAGGTCTCCGCCGAAACGGCGCCACATTTTCCCCTGGCCGTTACACAGCGGCATTCTGTCATCTCGCTCCATCCGCGCCGCGTAAATGCAACGCACGACTGTTGCAGTCAAAACAACATGGAGGCGTCGGCCTCGTTCAGCGCGATCAGCGGTAGGAGGAAGGAAGAAGGCACTGTGGGGATCATCCTGTGCGACAGCAGCCCGCAAAATGATTATCGAACGAATTTCCTAACGCCATCGCATGGGGTCTCTGCGCGAGAAAATCACTGTCAGTTGCAAATGGCAGACATCTGTTTGGGTAAGCCACGAGCCTCCTCGAGATCTGCCACATTCAGCCAAGCCAACACGTCGTTCAAAGGCTCCCCTGGACGGTCCTGGCTTGTCTAGGGGCTCTCAGCAAAACAAAAACGGCTGACAGAGCTGACTCTCCCAAACCCTGAACACTCACGTTTCTTCACTCATCACCCTTGCCCGGTCCTCCTCCGGGTCTGGGGAGAAAGCTTCTGGCCTCGGTGCCGTGCAACAGGATTTGATCAAGAGATGGCGAGTGGATGACTCGAAAGCTGACTGAAATCTGCGTGCAGTCGCTACAGCAGTACACGAGCCCCGCGGGCAATGTGTTTCTGAAAGTTCAATGATGTTCAATGTGAAGAGTCACATCCATCAAAGCGCGCCTTGCGGCATCCAGGTCCTGGAAGCTAGCGATAGCAGCGCCATCCACACAGGAAGAGTTGCCAACGGGAAGCTGCTTGGGATGTTGTGTGTGAGACCCTGAAGTCCGCAGACCTCCTGCAGAAGATCCACAGCGGTCTCCCGGTGCCTCAGCATAAAACTGCGCGTGGCCTACCGCTACCGCGCTTCGTGCTTCGCCTGCCAACTTTTGGGGGAAACATGAGTTGGCAATGATCCCAACAAGACCAGTATAATGTGCGCGTCTCAACAGAGCCGCACTCTTTCCGAGTCGCAGTAAGCTGGCCATGGGAGCCGCAGCATTGCATGCGCACGAAGAGAAACGTTCACGGAAGAAAGGAGCTGCCTACGTGTTGCTACTGTTGTCGTGGCTTTAACATAGTCGGTACACTTCGATCTTCGGCTCGCCTACAGGGAGGAGGACAGCCTCGAATATTTGCAGGGAAACCGCCTGCAAGGTGATATAGCCGAACTCTAAACAACTTCCGCCGGACAGTCCATGATGATCGTACATGATGGGATGCTTCAAGCCGAGAAGCAATGCATGACGACACATTCTGTGACTCGTCGCAGCACATCCCTGTCAAAGCTGCAGATATACAAGGTATGGCTCTGAGATAAGCGCGACTGTCTGCCAGCGGCGGCGGCATGCAACGGCCATCACCTGCCCAGACAATAAGCGTGCTTGCAAGACGTCCTTTGCAGCTAACTCCTCGCCAAAGAAGCCGCGCACAATTCATCGCTAGAGCTGTGCTCTTGCTGTCAGAAGCCCGATGCCCTCTACTCTGAGCGCGCGGATACGCTCTTTTCCTGGTGGCCAGCGGCGCTCAGGACTACCTCCTCAGCACGAAGCCTGACACCGGGTCCTTGGCAAAATTCGTCAGGGACGGTCTAGGCAACATGGGGTGTTGCAGCTTGAGGTGTCGACCATCCAGATCGAGGAAAACTGCGACGTTTCGCCGCTCACTCGGGGAAAGCCTCCACATGCTCGGCTCAAAGGATGTAGCTATCAGCTTTTAACAAGCAAAACAAACAAGGCCGAACCTCGAAAAGATGCGAGTGTAACCGAACAATGGCGCAAAGTCCGATATCCATACTTGCAACTGCAATAGCCGCCAACGAATCCCAATTGCTCGGCGCTGCCCTGGACTGGATACGGCCCGATCCTCCTGCAGGCGGAGCAGCACGAACCCGAGGATGATGCCTGCCAGAAATGACTGTAAAACAGTGTGCCAGAAATGGCTTTTGCAGCTTGGCTTGAGGTTTTGTGCCCACTACTCTGTGAAGCTGCGTTGCCGGTCCTGTCTATCCGACATATGTGCCAGAGGCCACATTCAAGCAGGACGGGCGCGCCCCAGATGATTGCAAAGGAGATGGTCACAGAGTAGGGGAAGATCTCCTGCCACGATGATCTCAATCAAGCCAACTCACCACTTGCGACTTTTGACTGAACACGGCACATGCCAGGTCGACATCATCCCAAACGTTCGCATACGCTGGCTCCGCCAAGAAGAGGCCAGCCTAGGAGGCGTGTTGTTTTCAGAGCTTGTGAATCAGAGAGCCAGATTTCCTCCTGTGTGAGCGACACGACGGTGATGCCTTTGGCAGCAAGTGTGTAGTACCTCAGCCGGCCCTCGGTCGTCTTGCCCGCTCGGGCGAGGCAGGTGACAGCTGCCGCGTTGCCCTCCTGTTAGCCACAAGGCGTGGCCCGCCAGCTTTGTCACACACTTGCCCGAAGGGCATGACTGCATATAGTTGGAATTTGCTGATTTGCGAGCCGCACGGACTGTTGATGACTTCAGATGTGGTCAGGAATACGTCCTGCCTCACAGTGGTGCCTGGGCTCCGGGCGGTGACACCAGCAGCTGCCGCATTGTTTTGCACCTGCAGGCAGGTACACTTCTGACAACCTTGGCATGAGAAGCAAAAGCCACAGCAGGGCGGCGAGCCTGAGACGCCGCCCTGGCCGATGGCGGCGCCACGAAATTCGTTCCGAAGGAGAGCTGGGCCTCTTTCAAAGGGACCCTTTCTGGCCGATCGGACTCGGGACCGGGTGACCGGGCCACAGCCGCAAGAGCAAGGAGTGCAGCAAGGGCGGGCAGAACCTGAGTTTGTCTTCTGAGAGTGCCGGGGAGCTTCCACAGTGACCGGGACGTTGTTGGCTCGTCGCATGACACTCTTGCAGCGTGGAATTGGCAGGCTGGGGGTCTCACAGATCTTCGTCCGGCCATGGTCACTTACACAACTTGTCTTCGGCGATCGCAGTACTTGCCCGAGGAGAGCCAAGCCAAAAAAACTTCGGCAGGGGCACAGACGAGAACGGCCTAAATGTCCTTGTGATCCTGTGTGTAATTAGTCTGAAGCCCCAGCACTGGCCTCACTCTGACACATGGACTTCAAGAGTCGGCCCTCCACATATTTTGCGACGTGCCGACACGTCAGCCACCGAATCGTCCATTTGGACTGGGCGTGCGAGGGCCTAGCTCAGTGGGGAAGGTAGGACCCTCAAGCGTTTCACGTTTGAAAGAGCCTGGGCCCTGGTTCTCACCCTGAATCACGAGGAACACCAACTTTGCAAAGCTCCGTCAGGGCAGCTTCTGCGGGTTGCCCGGATAGGCCTCGGCGACCTGGCCACGAGACGAGTCCAGTTTCAACGATCGCAACCCAACAAGATTATGTCTTCGTGCATATTCAGTGGTTCAGCGGAGAAAACCAGAAGAAGCAGTGCAAGCACATGACTGTAGAGTCCGTCAGGAGGACACTGTGCCGGGAGCCTCCTTGATCACTGATGTAGGACTCGCTATCCTTAGCAGACCGTCAGATTCTCTATTGCAAACTTAACCTATGCAAACGAGATGGGTGGCGTGCCCGCCGCGCCGCTCAGACCACTGTAAAGCAGCGCCGTAAATCCGAGCCTCTTCCTGCCGTGCTGGACACCACAGTGGCAGCGAAAGAGTCTACAGAGCACATTTCCTAGAAACCTCCAGCTGTGGCATGCAAAGCAATAGAATAAGTGCGCTGGCATCTTGCATTCATGCTGACGAGGTCTGAGTGCCGAGCCTGCGTGGCTAGGTAAACTTCTTCGGACACACTGATGGCCTGGTCTTCGATTCGTGAGCAAACCTTGGAGGAGCCCACGGCAAGGATTCAAGGCCAGGAACCCGAGTGTCTCTCCGGGGCACGCGCAACATAACAGAGAGCAGCCCATGCCTTGCGCCAAGGAGCAGCACCCCGTGTGCTGAGTAAGGAAGCACTGGGTGAAATGAATCAACAGTTGTAGAAGCTTTGTGCATATCCACCACGCCGAGACAAGATGCTTACTTGGTGCCCGACGATTTCGGCCGCTGCAAATCCCTGTCGTGCATGGTACCAAAGCAGTGGCCAAGACAGCAACGCTGCGGAGTCTGTCTACACTGTATCTTAGAATGCTGGTGACAGAGTTGGGCATTGAACCCTGTTGGTAGGTAAACCAAGCCAAATGATGCTGCGAGTGTGGCTCAGCCACGGAGAACTGAGCCCAAGACGAGGTGCGACAGCAAGAAGATCCAGATGTGCGGTGTCGCCGTCCAAGAGAACTGCCGATCCCAGCAAAGAGAGACTGTGTCTTCGTCTGCAGTTGCTGCTGTTCTGATGCCGGCGAATGATTCTCCCAGACCGGAGCCGTAAATCTAGCCAGAGCCGGATAACGAAGACTAGCTCTGCCCTCATCACTTAGCAGGTGCCTCCACCGCCCTGGCCTTGCTGTAGGATTCAACAGCTATGCTCAAGTCCTGGCAAGCTGGCGCACTGCCTCTAGGTTTAGAGCTTGCTGGCATCTGCAGTGGCATGAACACGGCACAGGTCGGCATAGGTGATTCGAGGCAGCGATCATATTCCCCGCCGGTCCAGTGCACCACCAATGAAGGCCATGATGCCTAGCGCTCAAGAAGACTTGACGGGATGCCGACGGCAGTACAGTTCAGCATTAGATCGGGTCATGCTCGCTCTTTCTTGCTACGTAATTTCACTACATGAGCAAAATACCGCTCCCTCAACATCAAAGACGCTTCCTTTCGATCACCACGCACCACAGAACGTTTGAGAAAGGAATCTGTGTGCCCTGAGCTCCCGGCCACAGTTCTTGCAGCACTGCCTCAAGGCGAACCACTCCAACTGATGCTTTTTCAAGCTAGCTCGCCAAGCTAGTTCGGAGCAGAGCATGACGTATCGTTGTGTCTCTGGCTCGTAGAAAACCGCTCCGCCGTGGATTCGCTGGGGGTCGAGCATGTCGTGGTCACTGTCAAGGCAAAGGCCCAGCAAGGCCAGGGTGTCCACCAGCATGAGCAGCATCGCCTGGGGGCTCAAGGCATGACCCGGCGAGTTCAGGGTTTAGGGTTTAGGGTTTAGGGTTTAGGGTTTAGGGTTAGGTTCCGGGTTGCCTTTTGCCTGTGCCTTTAGCCGCATTTGCATGGTATGCCCGCATGCACACACCTGCTGTCCTCCGTTGCTGGCCTGAGCTCCGTGCTCCATGGGGGTCCTGCTACTCACTTCGCCACAAAGCAATACCATTCCCACGTTGACTTGAGACGTCCGCAGTCCGCCAAGGTGGGGGCCAAGGAAGACCATGTTTCTGTCAACGAAGCAGCAGGCTGAATAACAACAGCAGCCGTGCCAAGATGTCAAAATGACCGACCCTAACTCAACGAATCTGAGCCAAACTCATTAGAATTCAACAGATGACCCTCGTGACACTTGGTTCGACTGTGAATGAGTGTACTCAACCAACTTGCCCAAGAATGCTAACTCCTACCAAGGCCTCAGAATCGATTCTTAGGCTTAGCTCAGAATCACTCCCGGAAACTTGGCCTGATGAAACATTGGGAGGCTAGCTTGACTCAAATCCGGCATGCTTTCGCCTGGGCTTGTGTGCTGCACCCCCAACCTCAACCTCGACTCAGCTTGACACGTTGCAACCCAAACCGTTCAGTCCTTCAATGCCTTGAGCCGCACAGCCGTCCTGGCAACCGTTAAATTCCGCTAAGCAAGCACAGTGTCCTCGCGTGTTTGTGCCACGACATGCTGCCAGACTGACACATGCCGGGAGAGCAGGAGGATCAGGAACACAAGCGCCACGATGTACCACAATCTGGA